TTTCAATAAAATAATTTAAACTGATTTTCAGATATCATATGTTCAAGTACTTTTACTGACTTCACTTAACCTACACTGAGCTGTATTATTTAAAGATCTGGCCAATTATATCATGAACAACAAAAATAAAGAAAAACTACTTTGTCATATTTGCATATCTCAATCAATTAAAATAATAACAACAGTTGTGCAAACCAATCAGAGTAGTGGGTCTCAGTGTCAATGTGAAACCACTGAACAAAAGAAATCTTCTTTGGGTTATTAAACTTCCAAAATTAATAAAGCAAATGTCACTTTGACAGACTATGTTAAATAAATGTAGCATTCACCCTGTAGTTTTAAAACGCAGCTGTGGAGATTTGGCTAAATCAGAAGTTAAAAATAATCTTTGACTGTGTAAACATTACAGATGCTATTATGAATGTATACATGAGTATGTGCAATCCAAAATCAATCAGAAGAACAAATACGTAGATTTAATTGGATATGCATAATAAAAGCCTCCAAGAAATCCTGTAATAAGGCTGGTTGCATAACACAATATTTCTTTCTCTAAATGAAAAAATTTTGTAGAGAGATAGCTGCTTCTGTCTTATACTGACAGTATCTCAGTAACTAGATCAAGTATCCATTTTTAGTAAAGTTCATCTAAGAATCCTAGTTCAAGGTCAGTCTAAGGAATCTTGTTTGGATAAATTTCTGTTAGAGGGCCTTTGAGCTCTGATGCTGCATACTATTTCAGTTTGAGTTAAATGGTTAAAGTGCCTATAATTAATCACAGCCTTGTGTGCAAAATAAAATAAAATACAAGATCACTTTTTTTCAATAGCCTTCTCTGTAACTTTACTGTAACAAACTGAGGTTCAATTGCAGTCTCTCCAAATTTGCTGGGATTGCATTTACAAGAATACAAGGTGGTGGGAGGGGTGAGCTTAGATGAGTCACCTCTCATTCCCTCACACTGTATTCATTACATTATAGGATAAAGCTAAGCATCCAATAGCAGGGGTGGGCCTTCAGGCTGCAAGAGAATTGGAAAATTAGGCTCTGCCCCGAGCCATGCTTCAGCTAGAGAAAGGGAGGTAAGGTTAAGGGTCTCCCTTAAGCTTCAGCCTACCACAGCACCTTAAAATCATGCCTGTAAATAGACCAAATTCTTCATTTTGAGTAGAAATAATTCCTGGCCAAAGCCCTTCAGAAGTTCTCCGCCCATCTCATATGATCTGATCCTGGGACTTGGTCATGTCGCACAGTCCCCAGGATAGCTCATGTTCTGAACTGCCGAGTGACTGCATCCATACATCTTTTCATTATGAACAATCCAAACCAGCTGAATCACAGAATCATAGAATGGTTGAAGTTGGAAGGGACCTTTTGAGATCATCTAGTCCAACCTCCTGCTCAAGCAGGATCAGCTAGATCAGGTTGCCCAGGACCCAGTCCAGATGGCTTTTGAATATCTCCAAGGATGGAGACTCCACCACCTCTCTGGGCAGCCTGTTCCAGTGCTCATTCACCAGCTGAGGTTGATCATCTTCCACTATCACCATTCAACTTCTTTTGTGTGTCTACAGAAGCAGACAAATTCCTCCACAATATTCAAGGTAGCAGTAGAGTAGCTATAGCTGTTTGCTGTTTTACTAACAGCCATTTATATTTCTTTTAGGAATTCACTTCGGTGAATGAATTATCAGAATGAGAACAGTCACATGGGCTGTAATGTCCATTTTCTTCATCCAAGACACATAAAACATATTCTAACCTTACATTTTGTTTACAGTTCTAGAATATGAAGAGGTGTGGGAAGAATTTCTTAATACCCAAGTCTAGATATTTAATTGTCACAGCCCAACTATCCAAGGATTATGTTGATTTCAGCTGGACCCCAAATTCAGATCCGCTGAAAAATCCTGAGATATCTGCCTGTTAAACTAGGGATTAGTGCTTGGTTGGTTTGCTTTTTAACTATATATTTACTGATGTTCTGGAACACCTACTGCACTGTTAATTTTAGTTTTAATTTCAAAGCAGACAAGAACAAGATTATCATGTTACGTCATTGATCTGCACTAGCAGAAGGCTCAATTTGCTCAGTAATAAGCAACTTAGGTCAAAGGCCACGACTGAGAAAATACGAAGGGTATCATTTACACGAATGTCAATCGGAAACAGCTCTACTGAAATAAACTGAATTACATTTGTGTCAAATTGGTGTAAAAGAGATTCAGGTTTGCAGAGTTTTGATTATGTGGCAGTCAAGAATTCATCTTTATTAGTCTGTAACAGGAAGCATTACAGACTACTGTGTTAAACTACTAGATACCTGGAGATCTGCTATAACATTTCATTTTAACTAAAATGGGGTTTATTCATTTATTTGCAAATCAAAACCATGTCACTGTTTCAGCTCACTGGCTCCCATTATCTTATTTAATCTGCTTCATGGCATCCACAGATTCTGGAAGTCTGCATTAGAGAATTTTTCAGAGGCAAGAGAATAGTTGTGTGTCCTATTTTCTAAGGAAATCAAAAAGAACTCTTCCAACTATCTACAACTGACTATTAACAAACTCTTATATAAGTAAAATTTTATATTTCTTGGCTTTTGATGTTCATATAGCCACACACTTAAACTAATAGTTTTGGAATACATGCAATATTTTCAGCATATTCCCAACTATACAACCACAAGATGATTTCCAGGACAGCTTTAACAGGGGAACTTTAATTTGACCTATTCAGGGATCTGCTTGGAAGAATTCCATGGATTATAGTCCTGGAGAGAAGAGCGAGGTCCAGGAGAGCTGGTGGATTTTCAAGGATCACCTCCTCCAAACTCAAGAATGGTCCACCACAAAGAGCAAGAAGTCAAGTAAAGGTGGAAGGAGGGTGAACAACGAGCTCCTGACTAAACTCAAAAGAGGAAGCACACAAGAGGTGTTTAGGGAAACAAATAATTCAGGAGGAATATAAAGACACTGTCCAAGCATGCAGGAATGGGGATAAGAAAGCCAAAGCCCAAACGGAATTGAATTTGCCAAGGGACATGAAAGGCAACAAGAAGGGCTTCTACAGGTACAGCAGCAGCAAAAGGAAGGCTAGGGAAAACGTGTGCCTGCTTCAACATCTTGGGCTACATTAGGAAGGCTATTGACAGCAGGTCGAGGGAGGTGAACCTTCTCTATTCACCACTGGTAAGACCAAATCTTGAATGCTATGTCCACTTCTGGGAATGCCAGTATAGGAGAGACATGGAGGGACTGGAGCATCTATCATTTGAGAAGAGGCTGAGAATGCTGGGACTATTCACCTTTGAGAAGAAAAAGGCTCAGGGGAATCTTATCAATGTGTATAAAACTAATGGGGGAAGAGAACAAAGATGACAGAGCTAGATTCTTCTCAGTGGTGCCCAGTGATAGGATGAGAGGCAATGGGCACAAATTGAAACACAGGAGATTCTGTCTGAACATAAGAAAGCATTTTTTCACTGTGAAGGTGGTTGAACGCTAGAACAGGTTGCCCAGAGAGGTTGCAGAGGCTCCATCCTTGAAGATACTCAACAGTCAGCTGGACATGGTCATGGGCAGCCTGGTCTGGCAGAAGGTGCTTGAGCAGGGGGGTTGGACCAAATCTCCAGAGGTCTCTTCCAACCTCAGCTATTCTATGATTCTGTGAACTCCTTAGTTCCTGTTGTTGCTCCAACACTTGATCGTTCTTTTTTATTTCTCATTGTTCTTTTAAGCCATATTTTGCAAACATGGAAGCTGAAGATAAGGATTCTTGCCAATATTCAAATAGGTTTTCTGTGAGGGTTGTAGAGATATTTAAACGTGAATATGAACCCCTATATAGCCAAAACTGGATGTGGGATGAAAAAAAGATGAAATGGTTCCCAAAAGTTTGCATATACCTACTGGCACTTTTTTTTTTTTTTTTTTTTGGTAGTATATTGATTCCATTAAACTTCTCAAGAAGGAAACAGGAGGAAAAGAGAAAGACAGGATATCTGATTTGAAAAGTTTATGCATGTCCTATATTTGTTTAATTTAGATTAAATATAAGAACACAAGTCATCTACGTACTACTAGCATCTTATTTCCAGTTTGAATGTAGTTGAAATATAACACAGGAAGCAACACAGATTTTGCTTTGCTTTGTAAATGTTAGCAGACATGGAAAACGTTAGGTATTTTATGTGCGTGATATGGCCTGTCACATACCAGAAAATATAATCTTAGTAACTATGCTTCCTTCTGTCACTTAGTAGTAGGAGAAAGCTTAAGTCTTAAACTGTACTGAGTTGAGATGACACCTGTTATATTTGCAGCAGCAAATTCCAGTGTTTCAAACTCATATCGACCAAAAATAGCATTTTCTCCCACCATGAAACAAGCACATTTTTTTCTAGGGCTATTCTGACTCAAACTAGCCACAGGCACTTATGTAGATTCCAAAAACGCTGTGATTATGAGGCTCAAATATTTACAATATGACAAACTCTATATTCTTACATAATCATGAGCCAAAGTAACAAGGTATACTAACAAGAGTCAACAGAGGTCAGTAGTTTGACCATTAGTCTATATAGCTTCTCTTCAGAGAGCAATTAATTTGCACTCATCTTAAGATTAAATGAATAATTCTCTGGTGATGTTACTGATTAGAAAGGCAACCTGAGATGGCCACTGCAGCCCAGAGTGACTAATGTGCACATATATAAAATCATGGATGGGATTCATCTCCCCTGCTTTGTATGGCTGTATAAACAGTTTTCCCCTAGTCAAGATGAAAGACAAGTGTCACAAACCATCAGAAAAATCCAGGAATTGTGTAACTAACTTCAGCTTATATCGTTGTGGCATTAAAACCCATGTAAAATGTTTCATTTTTAAGAGACTATTAAGAGACTTCAGGTGAGCCTACTATATCCTAGACCCAAAACTTTAAACAGGGTACTTTCACTTTTGTATGTCATTTCCAAATACAGACAGTCCAAATGCTTACTGTACCAAACTGTTTTTTATTATTTCAAACAAAATTCTGTACAAAAACATACCAGGCAAAGAAATTCAGTGACTTCAGCAAACAGCACATGACAACTTACAGAATGCTTTAAGGTTTATATTTTTATTATACAAGTGACAAGTAGCTCTCCTCTGGGCTACCTAAAGATAAGGGTTCCTTGTTTGACAAATAACTGCAGGTAAGCATGTATTAACTTTATCTACTAAAGCTCAACAGAATGACCTGGAATCCACCTACACTTACCTATCTGAAAACGGCTAAGATGAAAGCAGTATTTTCCCTAATATACATTTGTAAATGTCCCCCCATTAAAAATGGAGTGTGTAAACAGTGGATTTTCTACTTCACAAACACGGTGTGATCACTGCTTCCAGAAGAAAGAAAAGGCTACTATCAATTTCTAATTCTGTTCCTGACAACAGTATAGTGATCTGCTGCTACAACTGCAGATATATGAAATGAACTCTCTAGTTGCAGTGGTATACAGTATCATATGTGTAACAGTAGCTTCTATAGGTTCTAACAAGGTTTGAAACCTGGCAGTTCTGCTCAGAAATAAAGCCTAAGACAATTCCTATGCCAAAGAGTTTATAATCTTCATACTGCTTAAGGACTGAGTTCAATGACTAAATTTGTCACAGCACAGCTGAGTCTTAGCAGACCAAATATCTCTTCAGCATACTAAGAGTAAAGTTTTCAGGAGTGAAAATTGAAAGTTCCATGTGAATGCATGAAAATTCCAGTGACAGCACACAAACTGACTTACATACACAAGGATAAACACATACAAATCTGAATCTGTGCACAAGAACTGGAGTTTTCATGCATACATGCAAGCAAAGTACACAGAAATGAACACAGCTTCAGAATGTGACCTCTGCAAGAATATGTACAGCAACTACAGATCCCTCGAGAAACACTTAACAGAGCAAGAGCACTTTGCTGCTTTTGGCAAAATATTTCTATTCCATTTACTGGAAAATTTACTAGAAACTAGGAACAAACAACTCAGCAAGGAACTCAACTCCTTGAAGGGTCTATCACGTCTAAAAAACAATGAGGAGCAGTGAGCTGAAATATACTTCTGTGTTCGCTCTGAATGAGCTGATGACTATTACTATAAAGGAACTTGACTGAGTGCCTAGTAACAGCTCAACTCTTAAAACTTCTTTAAATTGTCCTTAGTCTGATGAGGACAATTTGACACTAGGGAAGTTTGCTGCTATGAAGTGTTTTGCTTTAAACCATTTTATATCAGTAAAAAAATTACTTACCAGTTAGAGCTGTCTCTAGCAGATAATATTTACCATGATATAGTCACAATGACAAAATATTTTCTATTTAAGTCAAGGCATTAGAATTTGCTCTTTCCCTTTCTAAACCTAATAAAATTATACAGACTCAAAATCCGGCAATGGTCTTAGAATACATTTCAAGTTTATTTATACTGAACTTGAAAAAGGGTAATAATTTCTCAGTAGTGGAAAGATAAAGGCTGTACTAAATAAATGAGGTAAAATGACCTCTTTCACAATACATATTTGGATGTCAGCCAGTCTGTAATTCTTGAAATCAGGGGTTTCTCATCTTCCATTTAATACAGGAAAGACAACACATTTCATGAGGGTGATGAACATTCAGGTTACCTTCTATTCATACAAATTTGATGAGCTATTGTAAAATTAAGTGACTAAAAACCTGTGCATATGTTTTTTTAAAACACATCCAATATTTGAATTTTATTTTCACTTATATTAACTTTCTCCTCCTTTAAAGTTTCACTTCTCTGGTAATTATTCAATATTTCAGTTTATTTGATCTCCATTTTGTCTTTACTACTTATTTCTGTGGAATAGAAGGTTGAGGATTAAAATGCACAGATTGACTGTTGTAGGTGTAGCTGAAGTATCTAAGTAAAAAAGTATTTTAAAAGTCAAAAGATAAAGGCTAGCATTAAAACTTAGGCTGCACTATATAAAGTCAGTCAGGTTATGACTACAAGTTCATATGTTTTAGCAATGTGAAGAAAATGGTTATGTAAATACACACAAGTATTAACATCAAACAGTATTAAATTATGTAAACATACACATCTTCTGTGGTCAATACAAACATCTACTTGTCTCAGGATACTACTGCAGCATAGCTCGGATTTGTTTTGAAGTAGATTCATCATTCAGGTGTTTTGTAGTGAACCTAAAAATTACAAGCGCGTATTAGAACAGCATTTTGTAAAATAAGTATGGCTTAGAAAAGTGAATACTTCAATGCCTGTTTTGGAAATGAAAAGAGTTTTACTACATATTTAAAGACACTTATATGTAGTCACTGACCACTGGAACTTTACTGCTAATAGTCTGTCAGGTCTTCTTTACCTTCAAGATATCTTTCAATAAATGATTCCCTGTTAGTAGGTAGAGAATTGTGGCCTCAAGCCAACACTCACAGTAACTTCAGTGCAGCAAGTACGCTAATTTAAATTTAAAAGATGGGTCTGCAGTCAAAAACATCTGTGATTGAGCAGGAAACTGAATTCAAATCTTATTTCAAGGACAGCACTTGATACTGTTTACCATTTTTCTACTACATTATCATAATTTTTTGCAGGAATTCTCTCTTTCTTATCTTTTTTTTTTTTTTTACTTAGAGACCTCAAAAGAAAAAAAAAACATGGAAAGACATAGTAATTAGGGTGAAAACTACAAAAGGATTTAGGAAGCTAGGTTAAATTTTGGCAGTACCTAGAAGCTTAATTTTAAGAGCAAGTTTCTTAAAGGTTCTGTACCTTTGCGTCTCCTGATGTATCATTACCTAGAGGGTTTTTTATTTTGTTTTAGTTTAATTTTTTTAAACCAGCAGAGTTTGGTTAGTGGTGAGTTACACTTCTGGGAATATCCTGGGAGGACTGAAGAGCCTTAGGGTATTTTTTTTTCCATTTAAGAGCAAACATTCTCCACTGTTTATGTTCCTAGAGAGACCAATCATCACATAAGCTCAAAACATATCTGATACTTGTAGGATTTAGCTCCATATCAACTCTAATTCAACAGGCATGATCAGCAAAGATGGAGGTGGTTATGACTGCAATTCTCACTCTATCCAATAGTTCAACAGCTAGAGAATTCAATATAGCTGTGATACAAAATACTAAACTTGGTACCATGCCTCCCTCCTCATTTTCAGGGAAGTCCCCCCACTATGTCTTGCTTCCCAAGACTGCACCTTAACCACTTAGCTACAGGACTGGGATTTACGTTGCTGTCTTCTTGAAGTGGTACTATTTAGCAGAATTTAAAAAAAATGGTTTACTAGATCATAGGGAAATTGAGAAGGGAAATAGCAAGGGTATTTACGGGAGAAACAGAAGTTCCACTCTTAGCTTAGAAAGTGTTCTAACCACTGGGGGGTATTTTAATAAAAGAAAAAAATGTTAGCAGTGCCTTAAAAGGAAACTGACACTCTCTATTCAATCTGTCTAAAACACACTCCAATGCAGGAATAGATAAGTAGTTACTTAAATTTGCAGCTTCTCTCTCCCACTCCCTCCTCAGACTTCCACCTTGTCTCCTTTACTGGGTCTGCACAGAGCGCTAATTATTTGCATCCAGTTTTGAGGACTTCAGTTTTTGATAATACACACAGCTTAGGCAAATATTTCAAATTCTAAAGTCTGTTCTAAGAAAGTGTCTAAAAATTAGTTGTCAAGCATCACATTAGTTTTTAGAATAGCTCCAGGTGATTTGTCAGAAGTGACTTAAGAAGTCTACAGGAGAGCCAACAGTGAAATCTCTGTCATCTAACTAACTTTCCTATAACTAAAGTAATCCCATTACATTCAGTGTTTTGGTGCTGTCTGTAACCAATAAAGACAGAAAAGTAATTCAACCAATCTTAGAAAGAAATAGTATAAAACACTCTCTGAAGATGCCAGTTTCTTCTTACTGAGTATAACAAGAGCCTAGAAAACTACCTTAGACCTAATGTTTACCTTTTAGTTGGTGAAATTGTTAGGCTATTAAACCAACCTTTACTCTGAATGGGGCATTACGACTTCCAATATTCATGCTCATTGCCTATCGAAGTGAAATGGAGCTGAAAGGTATTAATTTTACTTAAGAAAACCCGAGGTGAAACACCTGAAAGGACATTTTTTAAAATAATACGAGCTTCTTAGGTGAAGAGAGTCCTGAATACAAAGAGTTTGGGAAAGAAAAAGAGGAATTTGTTAAGGCTGAATCAAACAATTATCCCATACATACCTGAGAGCATTGAGAAGTCCTTCTACAGTGTCAGGTGGCTGTTCCTTTAAAACTTTTATGCAACCCTTCATCTGGGAACAGAAGCATGCCACTATTGAACAATAATATATAAATTGCACTAGCTGAAAACAAGGAAAAATTTCACCAATGATAGGCAGCTTAATTTTTTAGTGAGTGTTAATGCTGTTCTGTGAGACACGAGAAAGGCATTATAACTTATTAAAAGCTATTTTAAGTTAGAAGTCTAACTTTAGAGAAAACAATGTCTACTTTAGAGTATAGACACACATATATATACACACACGCACACTTTATTAACTATATATTTAACCTTGCACATGATTTCTCCAATTCAAACTTAAAAATAAAAAATCAGGAACAGCTAGCTGATAGAAGCTAAAACTTGTGAGACTTGTAAAGAGTTCCATGTCATTGCTTTTAGCATCTATCAGAAGAGATGCTTCAAGCTTGACTTTGATTTTTGTGCTTGCACACAGGAAAGTAATTTCCATTATTCAGTTTGTAGTTGTAAATCTAACTGGTGATAACTTATGGTGACAAGATGTTTGATTTTAAATACCACAATAAAAGAACATCCACCTTGGAGACTAAAAATCAGACTGAAAACACTGTCCAAATTTACAAAAGACGAAAGAAAACACAGAAAGCAGAGGCTGAACTCATCTGACCAAATAAACTGACTCCCTATACAGTCAATAAAGAGAAAAAAGAAATTCCTCCAATCTATTCAGATTATATTTTCAGATATGGTGAATCATAACGCAAAAGTGCCTATTTCTTCCCATTGCTATGAAGATATCTAATAGTTATTCAAAAGTTAGCCTAGATGAATTCCATCTTATTTAAAATGACAGATGAAGATGAGGCAGAGCCAAGATCCGAGCCGTCTAATTGTCCAAGTCACATTACAGTGCTAAATCTACTGTTTTCTTTGTAGCTAAACAGCAACTCTGCCTTATTATGGAAGTGGATGATTAAATAGCTAACTGGAGTCCAAGTATTTGCCAATCAAAATTATTTGGAAAACATAACGCTCACCCTTCTGCTCAATGACTAGCCTAACAGCCACAGGCCAGCTAGTTCATTTCTACCTGTAAGATAAAGCTAGCTATGCAAATACCAGATCAGATGAAATTCTCAAGGCAGCAGCACATATTGTTAGATAACAAAGTTACTTCTCCTAAACCAGAGACACTCAAGACTATGTTCACATCACTCATTACAGGTTTAGATGCTCTACCAGATCAGGCCTAAACTTAAAAGGGAATAAAAATTCAAATTATTTATTTTCATTTTGTTAGAATCCATAAAGCGCTCAAAGGAGAGAAGCAGTTAGGACATCTAAGCCAGGTGCCTGTAATTAACAGCTTGAAATACAGTTTCCGACCACAAAAGAATAGGGGAAGGATAATTTGCTCCATTGTCCCTGAACTTCTCTTGAAATGGCTCCCAAGAAGTGACCAGTCTGCAGAAAAGAGTTGTTTTTCATAGTAAAACCAACCCATCATCTGAAATATTGCAAGAGTTTTTTTATTAGAGAAGGCTCACTAAACTAATTAAGCAAATAAAGATTTGGGACTGTGTATTCATTTTTAAAAACTGAGCTGTACATGTCATACCTCCTAATAGAAGTGCTTCCTTTCCACTTTACATCTATCCTGTAGGATTACAGGGCTTTACGATAAATGTGAAAAGCAAAGCACAAACACTGTACATTTGGTCCTAACAAATATTTTACTTATATAGGAGCATAGCCCTCTAGACAAGAGACTGAACTAAAAGTCAGGAAGTCTGCATTCAATTCCCAGGTTTTATCTGCTGCACGACCTTAGGCAAATCAGTTCTCCTCTTTGTAGCATAGCTTTCCTTCTGAAAAACAGAGTCAAACAAGAGATGCAGTAAAATACTGATATCTGCAAATGAAAAATGCTAAGGATGACTCCCAAAATTAATAATATATATATATTTCTGTATACATTGAAGTAGGTTATCTTGTAAAGGGAAAGGCTCTTAACATCTTTTTCATGAATTGCAGCTTCTGCAAATTTCTGTTGAGATACACGTTTCAGGAGACTCAGGTTTGTAAAAACATTAAAAACAAGTAGCGCTGGTAGAGTATTTCTCTGTGTGTGTCTATCAGATGAAAAAATAACATTGATTTCCCTGTGTCTGGTCACACCAAAACTAAAACTAAAGGCTCATTATCAACATAACAATAAGAACATTTCGGTTCTGCTACTTTAGATCTCAGACAAAGCAAAGACAATGTAGAATATTTGCTTGTTTACAATAGAATTATTGCCAAAAGTGAGCATTTCAGAGTAAATTACATGATTAATAAAAATTATGACAGCAGAACTTATTCCAGGGTAGGTGTAATACAAAGTTATTTTAGTGTAACTGTACAGTTGGCAGGAGAGAGCAGAGCTAACAAAGACAAATGAGTATGTGTGTAAGGAAGAAAATATAAAGAAAAAAACATGACCTTTATTTTAATTTCAAATAAGCTGATATATGAAAGTATGTAGGTGAAGATGAATTTAAATTTTGCCATTCAAAAGCTATTAAAATGATTTATACAAAAAGCATAAGCTTGAGCTGAAAAAAATCTAGACGAGTGTTCCCAGACTTATAGAGTATTAAAAAGTCATTCTTACATCAATCTTTGATGTCTTTGAGAAAGCTCCCACAGGGTGAACATGATCGTACAGAATAATAACTCCCACCATTACTCGCATGCAGAACATAAGAGTCTCTTCACTGGTGAATCTACTCCTGTACTCTCTGGAAAACAGAGCAAAAGAAAAAAAAAAAAGTCTTGACTGTTTTTAACTGGACAATTTTGCAAACTAGACTATCAATGCATGAACTCTAAATATTTAAGGCTGAAGAAGAATCTTAATAATATTTTACAGAAATCAAATGTCAGTGGGATCGCTGAACTGCTTAAATCCTCGCCAATTTAGAAAGCAAGCTAGGAAACAGAGATATGTAACCCCCTTCTAACACTCTCAAAAAGTTCAGATTCTCACATCTCTGAAGCCATCAGTCTTGGACGTTTTACCAAAGGCTTCAATAGTTCACGAAATATGATGGAGACTGACTATATTTTTGTTTACTCTTAGAAATGTAACATACTAGGACCTCAAATAAAAGCTGCTCCTTTTGCCTAAATTCCCACTTTGAAACAGCTAACATTTCTAATGTCAGGCGCTAGTAAGCTCAGGGCTTCATGTAGGTGGGACTGCCTTCACATGCATCTCACATGAAGGCAACTTCAAGAACCCAGGTCCCCTAAGAATCTAAAATGTGGAGGCCAGTTATGCAGAACTGGATAGAACTCATGCCACAGAGTTTTTCCTTGATTTTTTCAGTACCAAAACAATCATACTGATGGCACAGTTAAAACAGTTCCTATCAGCTCTAATCCCTGAAATCATCAGGAAATCAAAAATGAACTACAGTACAGAAGCAGCCTAAAAAACACAATGCATTCACTGTTCTCCTAACAAGTATTATTGAGTAGATGACACATTACTAAGTGATATATACATTTATCTACTGTTATTCATTGGTTTTCAATATAAAACTTTTTTTTTTTTACTTAAACATTTCAATAAAACATTAGAAGCTATATTATGCTACCTCTCAATTTATTAGGACTTCATTTTTCTTCCTCTGTTTACATAGCACAGTATTGTAACATGACCAGAATAAAAGGCTACGGACATCTAGATATGAAAATGTTTGATTATCATACAATTAGAACTAGATAGCAAATAACATAGTCAATGCATTTATTTTTATCTTCTGTTGGATGAATCACAACTTTTCATTTCTCTAGCCATACAATAAGCTTACAGAACCAGGTTAGACTTCAGTGACTACTTCTAAGATGTCCCTGGACTGTGAGATGACTCCCATCTACATATACGTCTCCAGAATTTTCATAACACACAAGTGATAACCTCAACAATTCTACTCCTTACATGGCATCATGAGCAAGTGCTTCAAAGACAGAAAGACTACCTTCAATAACCCCACTGGCTCTACCTGTACTAGTAAATAGGAAAGCAACTCCAGAGTTTCCATACAGCTGAACATTCTCATAACCACGGTAAGTTGGCTCCATTCGAAAAAGATCTCCTCAGAACTGTCTCTGTGTATCATCTGGGAAAGTGCTATTTGGAAGAGCCAAAATCTTGCCCCTAAGTGTGCTAATAACTTAACAGCTTGGGCAATCGAGGGGCAGTACTTGCCTTATGACCCCGGTTAGCTTGTTTGTAAGAAGACACAGACACTGAAGCCTATATGCTTAAGATTACACTTGTTACAACCGTTTGTTGAAATACAGCCTGACCATTAAGCCTTCTTTAACAAAATTCAGTGCTGATTAATGAAAAACATCAAAGGCGGTTAAAAGAGGAGACAAAGCTTTCTAACACCAGATCATGCTTTGTATACAAAAAATTGACTATCCTAGGTGGTTCTGTAAAATACAGTGTAATTCCTCTCATACAAGAAAAGTAAGATTTAATGCAAAACTTACGGTGTTTCCAACATGACTTTACATACACTAGCCATAGTACTTAGACAGTCCGTTGTGTTCTCAATTGGTAAGGTTTTGTTCTAGAAGGGTTAGAAAACAGCCACCGTTCAATAAACCATCTTATAAAACTAAAATTAAGAATGCATTGTACCTTTTCTCTCCCATTACCTACTTCTGACACAAAATATGTAGTTGCATTACTGAGTGTTTTCAGCATTGGTGTGGCTTCCGCATAAAACAGAGACATCCTATTGGCCATTTCATTGTTTACTTCATTTTCAATGTCTAGCTGATGAAAACATGAGGGGAAAAAAAAAGTTAGTAAAACTCTTAAAGTTTCCAGCAGCAAGAAAATATGTAGTACATGCTCATGTCAGCAAGCAGACTGTCGCATGAATAGCTCCAGTCTAATCACTTGACCCGGGCTGCTGATTAACTGTGTGAAGGAGAGAACATGACAGCTAGAGAATCAAAAGAAAAAAGCATTATCACAGCTGGCATAAATGCACACTGGTAAATACCTCAGTGTGAACAGCCTATCAAAGCTGTATTTACTTACATGCATATTGTTTATTCTGTTGCGACTTATTGTCCGCCTGTAGTAACTGAAGTCATTCTGAATTGCTGGATTTCTCATCTTAAAGGAAGATAGGAAATAAATCAGTTTCAGGTGTTCAAAATATATGGAAAAAAATCAGCACATATTAAAAGATTTTATTAACCTTAAGTTCATCAAAACGAAGAGTAAAATGTAAGATTTCTGCAAATTCTTTAGCTAGAGCCTGTTCCCGTTCCAGGTGTTGAGTTGGAGTATAAGGTGGGCACGTCAAGGACTCCAGTAAGCTCTGCAGGGCTTTCTCTGAATAAGAGTTAGAAGCAAAAATTTATTCAGTCCACATTACAACAATTTTTAAAGTAAGTTTATAAATATACTTTGTCAGGAGGGAAGGAACCTTTGAATATGCAGAGGCCTGACAGGAATGTTTTTTCTTACTATTCTAAGGCAAAAAACATTTGTCAGACACCTGCCTCTTCAGTCTCTCTGCCATTTTCTCTCCATTTTGTACCACTGAGCTCTTTTCCTTTTCTTCCCTTTCTTATCCTAACATCCTTTAGCTAGGTTTCCTATCAAAAATGCTACAGCAAGCATTTTTCCTCCATCCAATTGTTCTACCCTTTTTCTTTCATTCTCCTCTGTTGGCCATCAGTTCAGGGCAGAGATGGTTCTGGTATGTTACTAAAATTGTACTCTTAGCCACAGACAGCAATGGGGTCCAGTTCCTGCAGCTATAATTACTAGCATTACTCAAAAAGTGACAGACTTGGTAAACAGGATGTCACTGTAGGAGAACTGCCTTGTACTGGGGGCTCTTCCACTTTGTCAGTTTTTGCACACTGGTTCTCCTCCAGATTCCTAATTCAAGGTGTAATTAGATGATCTGCAAAGGGCCGGGGGGAGTGGCGTGGCAGATATGGAAATGGCAAAGCCAGCTTACAATATGCCCAACTTTGGATTTTCACCCTGTGAGACAGTTTTTTGACACTTCCCTCTTTCCATTATCCCTTCAAAAAAGTCTCAAAATATTTTCAGTTTTCATTCTTTTTAAAATTCTGATCTCTTCAAGAACTCAATTTACAAAAAATTAAACTGCATTAGTGCAAAAAAGAGCAGTGAAGTGCAGAACCATAATGCACCAGAGAAATGTTACAGAGTTACAATCACACACACTGCTTCTTACTCTTCAGTACAGATAGCACAGATTGAAGTGATGAAGGGACAAGCCATAATAATTTTGAAATTAAAGATTAAAAATATGCTCTGATAAATGTAAATTGCAGGCAAATGTCTGTTGATAAACAACTTTTCAAAGATTAATGGAAAAAGAAACTTCATATATCTGTATATATAGAGTAACCTAATAAAACAGATGTACTGAAACAGCGCTCACCTAATCTGAGTGAAAACTCATAAAAGCGCTTCAGCCTTACAACCAGAGGACATACTGAATTCCATGCTTTTTCTTGCAGCTGGATATCATTGGGGTTTTGTATTGCCTGAAATGAAAATGCCACTGTGAAGAACGAAGACCCGTGAATGATAAGCAAAAGGTGGTTCAGAAGTTTTCTAGCACATTCTTTTGGAAAATAAGTATTGTAAAACCATGAACAAATGACATTGCACAGGAACAGAAAATTAGTAAATCCAAAAAACACCATTATTTTCTACCTTCTCTCTCCCCCTCTTTAACACAGGGGCTTAATATTCTTTGTTCAAGTGCAACACTGACATACAGGAACGTTTTCACCCGTTTTTGGGGGAAAAATATGGCAGAAGCATCAGGGAAGTCCTCTTGTATGACTACTGGCTGCAGAAAGGTATTTTAAGGTTTTAATGCTTTTGAAATCTGCAACATATTTATGTTCGTAAGTAACCAACAGCTGGCACTAACAGTAATTGTGAGGTTGATGCAAGAAAAGATTTGGTTGGTTTAGAAAAATTGTAACTTACAGGACTGATTTCCTAGAATAAGAGACCTGCAAAGTTCAAATAACATTGTAATTTACTGCGTTTCATTCTTTTATTTACAGAGAAGAGCAGCTATTAACTTTTTCTTCATAGTGCATTTCTGACATCTGAATATTATTTCTTCCATATCCTCAATTTTGACTTTTACAGTAAGATGTGAAATAATGAGCATGAAACTGTGTTTCTCAAAGAGGAAAATAATTACTAATTACTAATAGTAAACCCAAAAAGAAGTTCAGCAGCCATCATTTAAAGATTTGACATTATGGCTTTACATTCAATATTACATATAATCTGTAACATGTTTTCCAAATACAATTTTAATGAACATTTTCATATAGTTTCACAGAATGTGCCTGGATACAAAACTAAACAAGGAACACATCGAGTTTTGCTTGATTTTGCTTCCAAAAAACTGTCATTAACTTTAAGCAACATACATCTCTAATTTCTTGTCCAGCTCCTTTGTAAGCCTGAAGGTCTGCAAGCATACTTTCTGAGTCCTGTAAAACTGCACTGATCTGATTCCATACTTCCCTTTCTCCATCTGTGGGCTGTGCATCTAAGAAACATAAAAGTAAAAGGCGCAAAGTCAAAAGGTAAGTGCAGTACAAATTCTACATAGCATTATATCCAACTTCACTGTTTGTAACTTCATTGTGATTCTGTAATTTTACTGCAGTGCAATTCTGCATCAGAAAGTAAAAACAAAGTTTGTACTTTCTAGTCCAAGGGGATAAAATCCCCCAAGGTTTACCATAAAGTTTTTTCTATCAGTTTTGGTAAGTTATTGCTCAGAATGGCTCTTCTGAAAAACAAGCAATTAAATCAATTTAAAAGTGAAGCAGAATCATAAAACAACGTTATTACGAAATTCAGTAATGCATCAGTCCTTTAGTAAAAAATGCCCCTTTGTTTCATCAGCTCTACAACTTGACTACAAAAGGTTGTTCCGATTTCTTGCAGCTTGGGAATAAAACCAGACCTTTCAGTGGATGCAGCAGGGGAATACCACGCGCCTTCAACTTTCCTCCAGTTGATACAACTTCTCTTACTAAGCAAATGTATTTCTCCTTTCACCGAACACAGATATAGTACTGTTAAAAATAAGTACTCTCCTTAAGTCTGTCAGATATCATTGCTGCTACTAAAATAAATCCAGCTCTGTTAATGATCAATTTGTTTTCAGGGTGGGAGTGACCTGTAGACCTTAATTATTCCGAAAAAAGGATATTTTCAAGTGGACAGATCAATTTTCCCATTCAAATCCCACTGAATGGGATTTTCACGGCAGTGTGACACCAGGTAATGAAGTCATCTCCGGCATGTGGACATGCAAGACAAGGCAGAAAATCTTCTACCTTTTTTTCGATTTAAAACATAAAGTTTGGCTTTGACTAAAAACTGAATGACTCATATACAGGATTTTGGTCAGTATTTGTAAAATCAATTACCTTGTCCTGGCAGATTTCTACAGTGAGACAACTTTTTTTCTTAAACTTGTATTAGCTTATAAAGATAGATCTTGATCTTTAAAAAAAAATAAAAACATGAAAAAAATCCTTGGAGGTGAATCTGATGACAGCTGTAAGGTCTATCCGTTTGAATTAGAAGTACTGTGATATTTTCAGTTCAGAACTCACTGATTAGAAAGAACTACTATATACAACTCTACTTTAATAACCAAAAAAATATTAAAAATGCTTTTTCTATGCAGTCTTTTTTCTTTAAAGAAAGGATATCCAGTTGTCTTGCTGCATATCAGCATGGGATTCATTTACTACCCACTTCCTCTCTTCAAAACCAAACACAACAGTGCAACTTGCAGAGTATGGTAAAGAATGGATGTTCTCAAAGCTTTTTGCAATGACTTTTCAGGTTAGGATAAGGACTTTTGTCCCAGTTAAAATTTTTAGGATCAGGATCTGTGGGGAAAAAAAAAAAAAAAAATTCCTCCAGTGTGTCTTGAATGCTATCTCAGAAAATTATCCTTTTTGCTGAGGCACTATTGCATACATATATTAAGACTCTCTGTTTAATTTGTTTATATGCATCGTTTCTTCTGGACCTTGCACTAACCAAACAGGAACGGCTGAGACTTACCTGTCTGTAGCTCAGAGGTAACTAATGCTTAAGAACTTTTCTATACTAGTGTTTCATTATGAGTCCCATGAAAGAGAGCAAGTGAAACAATTCTGATTTTACATTCTGGAAGTTTGATTTCACTCTGGAAGTTTACCCTAATAATCTTGTTTAAAATAAGAGAATGGATGAAAGTAAAAATTAGCTGAGCTTACTCAGCTGGGTTTTATATTCAGAATAACTTCAAGTCACTAAAAAATTCCACTGTCCTCCAAAAAGCTTAGTTTGTCTCCTTCCTAAAACCATATACACTACTCTGCATCCTTCAGAGAAAAACTGAGATCTGAAGCCCATTCCCTTTCTTGGCTTAGCTCACTCCCTGATATCAGGGGTGCTAGCTCCTAGACACACCTCAGAGGGAAAGTAGAGCCAGAGAAAACTTCCCCAAACAGCAAAATCACAACTCCGACACACAGCTGTTGAACTGCACTGTAAACTATGTGAAGTGTACCGTTTTACTGACTGGTTCCTTTCCCAAGCTGCAAGAAACCTCAGTTATCTCAGGTCACCAACCTATTAATGTGTACCTTCTGATAAAGGAGGAAATGAAACGGTAAACATTTCTGAGCTTAATAACGAAAGTGGTAATCTTACTAAAAAGTTACACACTATGGAACAATAGAGAAGGGGGCAGATAGGATTCACCTATAAATCACTATCTACATTTTAAATAATTAAATACAAGTTAATTAAAATAACATTTTCAGTAAATATTAAGACTCACAAAAGAGAATAAGTAATCTATTAGTACAAGTTAAGAATGTAAATCTGCGTGTTCAAATTACCTGAAGCATGGATTGATTAACAAAGTACTTTTTACAGCTTATTTGCTTTAAAAAATATTAACCCCTAATAGAGATTTAAATACTGCAGACTGTTCAGCACTTTTGGATTAAGCATGCTGTTAATAAAATCGTCTATAGTTCTTCTTTTTCAGATTTTCCCAATTAATATTTTGAAACTTGATAGAAGGATGAATATTTCTATAGTATCCCAGCATCTGGGGAAGCAGGAGTAGGAGGAAGGTTGGTGGATGGAAGAGCAAAAGAAAGGGAAAGGAGAGAAAGAGGATTGCAAAGGCTACAAAGCAACAGGCTAACAGGCTTAGCTTGCACTTGCAGAAGCAGTTTAAATTTATGCTGAAAGTGTTTAACCTAAAAATGATTCAGGCTTTTTTTTTTTTTTTTTAAACATGCATTTCACTTATGAAATATATGTAACGTAAACAGATGCTCAAGTAAGATTACGATTGTGTTTCAAAAGGGATTTTATACAAAGATCTCACCAAAAATGGCCAACTAAAATCCCTATAAGAGGTCACTTCAGAAAAGAGTTCATCCTGCTGTGAATAATAATAATAAAAAGGGATATAGAATTCTTTATGACTGAGTTTTTGACCTTTTATATTGGTTTACATTCTAACACAGACAAACCTTGTTTCTTTGACTTAAGTAACACCCTATTCTTGAATCAAAATTTAATTATATGGAATCACTGCTTCCTAGTGATCATCTGTTATCTCCTTAATGGATAGAGAACCAACACCTGCCTAAGCAATTTTATCACATTTATAAATAAAACTAGAAGCATTAACAATTATACACACAGAATGCAGGTCCCCTCAATAAGAAGTTACCACAATCACTAAACTACTCCATTTAAAGTCTGATAGTCTTTACAGTACCTATGATTAGCTTTCAGGGTGCATTCACTTTAATAAGACGGACTAGTAAACCCTTCCACCTCCAAAGGCCCTTGCCTGTGTTTTTCCAATGTGAACCTTACAACTGACAACTCCAATTCTCTATCAAATAATTTCAAGAGTCAGACCAGGTCTGACTCCTCCATGTAGAGCTTCTACCAGTAAATTCTCATTTAAAAAGCAGAATTCATAGCTCTGGGGAGAAGTGTAATTCCATCGGCTCCATCAAAAATAACAAGGATATGATAACTCCTCCAATACACGAACAGTCTCTTTCACCTTTAGACGTGATCTATTCCATACTTCTGATGTGGCTTCAAGCTTCATAAGAAGAAGGAAAAAGCTAGACCAACTATTACCAATTGGTGGATGCATTAAATATTTCAAGTGCATTGTAGGGTGGGAGGGTAGAATCACCATGCTATTCTTTCTCGGGAAGATGCCTGGCCTTAGGTTGAAAAAACCCAAACCATCCAAGGTACCTACATCATTCTTCACCAATTTTGCATTTAAAAAAAAACATAAAAACTGCTATATAGACATAGGAAGGCATTAATACTGATGAAACAAGATTATATATAAAGAGAATGGATAGGAAGACTTTATCAATACAAAGTCAGATATAACAATATTTCAAGAGTTAATTTTTGTGAAGAGATACAGGAGAGTACTAAAAGAAGTGCTTCCAAGGCATATACCCTTTTTGAATCTCAAATGCAGACCACTGAGTTGGAATTCTATTCCAACTTCAGCCAAACCGATCGCAACTTAAGAGGACTGCCACTGAGGAAGGTTATGTTTTTCATTTCTTTGAATGATGAATCACATCTGTCAAAACCATCATAGTTGGCTGGCCCTGACAGCCTAGTAAGTAAAACGAGTTCTCTTACAGGCTCTGCTTCCAGCCTTTCTTGCCCTGTCCACTGCTGAATACGGCTACTAAAGCCCACCAGCCAACAAAACCAAGTTAGAGAGCAGTGTATGTATTTTACTGTATTACGCTGATGTCCTATTTCAGGTTTGTCACAATGACATTGGTTTTTCCCCTTCCAATCTGGGACACAATTAGTTAAAAAGCTAGCTTACGTCCTTAAAAAAGACAGTTGTAAAGCATTACTTACTGTAGTGAATACTGCATTTCACAGGATATGAAAACCTGCTATATTCCATGTATTAAAAAGAATAGTACTACAGTGAAATAGTATCCTATCCATGGTTTAAGCCAAAGTTCCATTACACACTGGATTTCAAATTTCATCCTTTCTAAACTAATCAAAACAAAGTTAAGCTCCCTAAGGTGTTAGTACTTGCTATGGGCATGATGTGATGTCAGGGAATTAGCGTCAGACTTCTTGTTTGCTCCTCCCTCCAGGTCTGCTGGACTTAGTGGACGGATGGCTTTAAGAGAAGACACAGATGGATCTCTCTCAGACTGAATCATAACTTCTTGCCTAGGCCTCTCTTACCAGGGCGAGAGACTATACTTTAGTCTCCCTCAGGCTGGACACAGAGTAGATCATATATCTGGAGCAAGGGTATTAATAACCGAAAATCCAAAAACTGGGCAATGGCTCTGTTGCCAGACATCTTCCAAGAATAGACGCTTTCACTCGTACATGAACAATTATCATCAAAAACTTCATAATCCTTGCATTGGGGTGGGCAGCAATCCTGGAAAATAATTCCAGGACCTTGATTCTTTGGTGGGGGGTGCGGGC